GCTACATCACGTTTCAACACCAGATCTATTAATGTAACAAGATTACGTATATATGTTGTTAACATAGCAAAAAAATATCACAAACAAAGAACTTGATATACTTGAGTATCTTGATGATCGAACGTTGTGAATAATAACCAGTGCTACATTAACTCGTCAAAATCTTTTGTTTGAATATCATCAGCAAATTTCAAATCGATCTCAGCTAATATTCCTAGCCAGATAACTAAGTGATTACTTTAAAAATAAGTTATAATTAGATTGGAGTAATTAAGAATTTGATGATTGTCGAAATGTACTAATGTACTAATTTTTTGACTGTTGTTAGTCATAAATCAATTTTTACAAAAGAAATATATATCTAACTGTTAATATACATACACATGAATTATGATTTGATAAAATTACTCGAAACTATAATTTTTAATGAGTTTAATAAACATAAAACTATTGAACTGTCATGTCGATAACTGATATGAAATAATCTTTGTTAAAAAAAAACAAAGGAAACATACACGCAATCACAGTACAAAAATTGAACTAGGTATGTTAGAAAACTAACAGATTATTGATCATTTGTATTTAATAAGTGAAATTTTTCCAATGAATAGTAGGCGTTGCTATTCGATTTGCAAAAAATAAAATGAAACGAATCATTTGTATACAATCATACAGTACTTCGATTGCAGTTGATGTGCTATAATGCAAATAAACAGTTAATTATTCTACAATATTCATTTATTTCAATAAATAATTATTTTTTTTTATCAATTTCAATCATGAAAAATTTAACTTTATAGTTTCAGTGAATTTTTCTTCAATGTACGTTTTTTTTAAATAATAAGAATTTACTTAAGCCTGATAAAGGATGGTTGCTTGGTGATTGATCATGGAAAAAAAGCAACTTATTAAATAAAAACGGAATAATCGAACAAAACTTGAATCTTTTAGAGAATTATCAAACTAAACAAACTTATTTTGGTCCTATTAGGAAGAATTAGAACGACTTAAAGAGTGTGTATTGAACATTTTCTATGATGCAGAACCGTAAAACTTCATTAGTTCAGAACAGAAACCTTTTGAATAATTTGTAGTGTGTGTATTTTTATGTATGAACTCATAGGGTTTGTCTCAGACTATGGATAATTTAATCAATTTAATCAATCTATTTCTTCTCTAGTTCTTCTCTATTCATTCGTCTTTTGACCTTGTCAACTATATTATTAGTTAGTATTAGTTGTTTCTAATGCAGCATGTGTGTGCACCACTTAGTTCGCTTATTACATGTCTGGCTTATTTTGTCTAATTATAAATACTGACTTATGCTTCTTCGCATGGACTTAGATTGCTGATCTTGTCCAGTTTTCTTCACTCTGCTTGTACGCTTCCCATTATCATGTCTGTCTGTATGAATGACTGCATGAAATAAACTTATCTAACCGAATCCGTATTTGGCTTCTTATTACCGCCATCTCACAAACGAGGTTAGCGTAAGTACGATATACGGAAATTAAAGGGAAGATTTGTTTCATAGCATAATTAATTTTTTATAAATATTTTAGTCATTGCGGGACACCAAAGTAGTGAACCCTGTTTAGAGTTCAACGCTGCCACAAATAACTAGTTAGTTTTTTTTGCTTTTAAAAACAATCATAATTATTCATTGAAATTGAAACACAATCTGTTCACATTATAAACTACCAAGAAACTAGGTAACAAGGATTATGATATCGTTGTGTTCATTGGTGAACAGTTGATTTCCAATAGATTATGGCTTATTAGTTAATGAATAAAATTTAATTTCCATAAGAAATACAATCCAGATTTCATGTAAAATGAAAATTCGGAAGTTATTATAGAGTGTTTATTATGAATACCGGAAAAAGAATTTATTAGATAGTAATATAAACCATATTTCCATTGACCGGTAAGTAAATCGTGTCTCATTTTCCTGACTGAACACTTTGTATATAAATGCATTGATTTGTCTATATAATCAAAATATTCTGTCCTAAATTCTCAAACACTAGATACATCAAAGTTTATTGGTGAAGACTTAAAGTGTGTGAATGATTCCAATATATAATAATGTATTATATTATTATTATTGCAATATAATAATATGTATGTAATGTGTACGCACTATCCCTGTTATTTAGGTGATATATCCTAATATGAAGTAGAATATATATTCATCCGTAAATCACCCTTAAAAGAAACAGAACGGCGTTAGACCGGAATTTCATGCATTCATCATGTAATCGAGGAAGAATGCAGTTGGTGCAGCTTTGTTAGTTTTCACGATTTAAGTTGAATGTTAAATACTAACCGTTGAAAAACGTTGTCTTCGAATGATTTCAATTTTAATTTACTATAATCAGACGTTCATTACAGTATTACAAAACTAGCTCTTAGGATTCTTTACTGTAATCAAATTGATACTGTCAAGTAAGACAATTATTATTAATTCTCAATAACTAAGAAGACTGGCTTATGAATTGTCATAGACATTTTACATGTTAAAGTAACTTTAATTCAGAAATTTTCAGTTAATTTAATAGTAGCGATCTGTTAGTTGTTTGACAAATACATAAGTTTTAGTTATAATAGTAGATGTTGGCAAAATATTTTAGTTTTTAAAAAATTTCCAAGAAAGTTTAGCTGATTACTGAAAATTATAAATAAAGATACGAATAATGTTATCAGTAAAATATAGATTAAAACATGTTACATGTTGTATGGTACTTGGGTATTTCGTTTGAGTCATTATAGTTATGAAGATAGTTGATTTGATTTAAACGATGACTAGCTTCGTGAGCGAATTCTCAGAGTCGTAGTAAGACGCCATGACCATTGGAGTTCAACTATGTTGGGTTTAAGCATTTATCTACCGAAAACGACGGGTGAGGTCGCACAAAACCTTGGACCGACCAAACTTAGACATTAACACTTTTGAATGCTGGCCCAGATGTATAAAGGTTAAGCGTTCACGCGCGAGACGGAAGGTCTTGGGTCCAATTACCGTGAGCACAGGTCATGGATGCGCACTGCTGACCTAATGGCCGTTCAGTATTTCGTCTTAGTTTTTAAGTTTCAGTAATGTAGTTTCATGACACTATACAAAATCGAACTTTAGAACTGCAGATTTTGTATCAGAAAAGTATTTAAAGTAGGTTACAATCCAATGATTTACATTTTATAGGTTTAATTCATTCTGGAAGTGGTTGTACGTATGTAGTCAAAGAGAACACAGGTGGGGCAACCGGATTGTATTTAGCGAAAGTTACAGAGTTTCTCAGTAAAATTGGAAAACCATATCTTAAATCGTTCATTTGCAAATTATCAGTTCATCATATCGAACTGGACTGTTCCTGTTGCAAAACATCAATCCATTGTCACTATTCATGCGTTTCATACAAATTCCATTGTTTTCTAACTCTTCCTTTCTTGCTCTTCCCCCATCTTCAGCTGCCAGACATTACGTTGACACTCACATCATATACTACTTATAAGTAGCTCACACCACACGTATGATAGAATTCTTATAAGACTGTTTCTTGTTGGGACTTTTTTTAAATGTCATCATATATCTAATCGTTATTAAGCAGTCATGACTGAAAATTGTGGTATATTTTGCTAATAGAAGATTTATTAAGTAATTCAGTATAAATTTTCTAAAAGCTGATCAGCTGTAAGTTTTTGTCATTCAAAAGTTTTCATAGATTATAAAAACAAATTTATGATAAATGGTCAATGTCCTATTCTATCCATAAAATCACAATTTATCTAGTTGTTCTTTTTTGACGTTTGACATTACAGTCACGTAAAATCAATTTCAAAATACACCACTTTAACTGTGTGCATATTCAATTTGAACTGCGTATTGGAATTTTGATATTCAACTCACTATAAGTAAAACAATGAACATGTGATAATTTTTCACTAAACTACCATTACTCTATAAGTTTTATATATCCTATCTAAAAAAAAAAACGAATAATTTTTTTCCAAGAAATATATCTTGTATGATTGCAAAATATTTATTGAAAATAAATAATGCACATTGGAACTTTAAAAAAATAATAAAAATCTAATGGACTTTTCAATTACATATACACTTTTAGAAGTTGCTTAGTTACAAATCCAATTTTTGTATATTTATGTAGAAAAAGAAAATAATGCATTAAATTGAACCAACCATGAAGATTTTCGTAATCTGTGTATTACTGCTAAAGGAATAAGAGAATGTAACGATTAAAAACATTGTATCGATATACTTTAAATATTCCATTTACAATTATTGATAAATATCATTTTTCTAACCATATGACGTTTATATAAGCAATTTTATCAATGTTCTAAGAAAATTAATTGAATGTTTTGCGTATAATGTGTTGTTTGTTGAGTTCATTTTTATTGGTTGTTTGAAACTTCCAGTTAATGCTTAGGACTACAATTGATCAGTCTTGTTTGCATATGTGCATTCAGTGCGAATTAACTTGATATTGCCTTGAGGCTACGAACATCAACTCTGAGATAAAGGAACATTCAGCTGTCGAGTCTCAAATAGGACTATATATGCTTTCTGGATTCCACTAATAGCCACATTATCAACCTCTGTTAATAGTACTGCTTGTTTATTCATCATTATTATTGACTGAGCGTATGCTTGTACATTTAATAAACATAAAGTATATAATTTTTCCAAGAAATGTGCCATTTTTGTTTTGCGTAGTTGAGGTTACACAACTAAGTTACATAACTTTTATCTAAATTTCAACTACACTTTTATTCAGATTTTTCAAATTGGAATGAACGACCCGAATCTGGTATATAAATGACTGAATTTGTTTCCTTAAAGTTATTGTTTGAAACTTTGCAAAAAATGGTCAAACACGTTAATATATACAAAATAAATGTATAAAACTTGATATTTAAATGGTAATGAAGCTCTGTTATTGAGAATAGTTGAATTAAAGAGTGAGATTACTTAATTTCAGATGAATAATCATTTCTTAATAACTATTTTTATGTAATCGGTGATGCACAAAATTTAAAACATAGAATACTTTTAAATTGATGGTTTTTAATAAGTGAAAGTGAAGATATTTAGTCTAATTTTATATTATTACGTAACCAGTAGACGTTATGCTCCGAATATTTGCTTTTCTCTGCATTCTCTTTTTTTCAAAAGATCGATTTATACACTGTGTTTCAACATAACACCACCAAATTTAGATACAGTGTCAGACGATTTATTTATTCATGCTAATTAATTTGCTGAAAATATGATACACAGGAGATATGTCATGTTCAACTAGGTTGTAAATAGAAAAAAATTTTGTCCTAATTATTTGAACACCAAATATGCCTGAAAAATTGACGGTAGTATAATCATCATTACGCAATAAATTCATGTTTTATTATTATAAAGAATATGGGTTCTTTTATATCATGCTGTACTTTTTTAAATGTTAAATGAAAATGTGTGTAATCTATAAGCATCTAGTTTCATAGCTGTTTTTATCTTAGACATGAATACGAATATGATATGATTAGCTGTTTTATTGAAGTTCTAAAATCATAAACAGTGTACTCCATCAACTAAACATAGAGACAAACCTACGATCTTACAACCAACATGATACAGACAAACTGCTGACTAGAAATTTCATCATTCACATGTACACCTAGTATCAGTCCTTGACGAAACCTGACTTTCGATTTCAGTTATCTACCTAGACAAAGAATTATGAAAAATACTAATTAACAGCATCAATATGTCAGTTTTTTTCCAATTAGCACTATAGCTAACTATAAAACTACATAATACAAAGAGTAAATACTTTGTGACAAGTGACTATTTGATGAACCAGAAATAGCCACTAAGCTATTAGGATTTGATGCGTAGGATTTAGATTACAGATATTATTTGAAAGAAATATACTAATGCCTAGATCGTATATCAGACACGTTTTATGAATTCGTTATTACTGTGAAATAATGCTAAAAACAATGGTGGACTGAAAATTTTTCACCCAATGAAATCGCCATCCAATAGGCAGATGTATGTATTTATCATTGGATAGTCAAGGTTACTTCCTATGTCTGCACCACTTTCACATGTTGATACAAAGAACATCAAAAGAATCAATCAATAACGCATGTTGCCTTCACAATCATTGATCAGCTGATTTCGGCCCAGTTTTGAAGTTTATAAGTGTCAGTAGTCAGTAAATTTCTTTGTGACAACTCTCCGTTCTTTGATTTCAAAATAATTCTACTTTAAAGTAAATTCAAAAAAGTATGTTTTTGTTTGTAAATATTACTGATATGTTTAAACTTGTAATGTTTAAATTTAGATAATAGTTGTGAATGGACTGATAACATTCCTGAGTATAGTTAGGGTATTTTCTGCCGTGAAATCATTCACTCGTCTATATAAGTTAATGTTTGAAAGATTTGCTTTTAAAACAAAAACCTAGTGTGTTTAATCACATCATGATAGTTTTACTGTTTTTAAACCGAATTTTCACAGACCTCGAACTTGCCAATTTCTGGTTTTAATTTGCTCAGTGATTTGTTTCGAATGCGTCGACTGAAGTTTTGACTGGAATAGTGTGCATAATCATCTTCTTTTTATATCTACTTTTATAACTTAGCAGGATTGTCGTTTTGTCCCATCATATTGAACGATTCACTGAGCCTATCCTATTATCATATTTATGAATCAAGTTGTATTTATTTGCTTTTATATTGTAATTGATAATAACAGGCTATTTTCATCAGTGTGTTTGCCTACATGTCACTGATTGGTTTTAACATTAGAGTTGTTTAGTTTATAAATACTTTCTTTATGACTCCCGATGATAAGTCATTCGAAAAATTACTAATGGTTTTTGGATAAACTTGCTTACACAATAATGAGTGAAATGAATTATTGAACTCTGTAAACAAATAATAGGATGCAATATTTTAAACTGGACATCTTACATAACTGTGATTATTAATATGCCTATTATATAATATCATTATAGGGACAAAAAATCACGTAACTATAAGTAGACGTCAACTTCATTATTATATGAACTAATCATTGAAACATAAAAGTATATTCTCCCAATACCCATACAGTTTTCGCGAAACCATTTTCTTATATCGATTAAATTATTGCTGCAATCAATTTTAATTACTTGTGAATTATTATACACTTGTTTAAATAAGATAGTTTCCGCAAGTTTGAGTTGACATGACTAGAATCAGTTGACCAACAAAAAAAATCTAAACTGGAAATAAGTGTCAGTTTTGAGACTGTACATTAGTACGAGGCTAGAAACATAACGATGATTAATGCTCCAAAGTTTTTCAACATCATTTTGAAATAGGGATCGAAATAAGCAATTGAAAGATAGTATCAGCAACATATGCTTAGAGGATTTTGGTTTAATACTATTTATCATCATGTAGTATGAATCAAAGTCTGTTACAGGCGTACAACATGCGTGAGTTAACCTGTAAAACAATTTTAATCGTAAAAGATAACCTTTGTCATTCTTATGCTATCAAGGCAATTATTCGATTGATTAGAGTATGTCACCTTTCATCACACTGTGGTCATTTGAGCCTGTTTTTTTTGTGCAAACAATATTATTTACAAATATTTATTTAAAACGTAACTGGTATGAATAGATATTTTGTTATTTAATCAATCGCTGATGTATCCTGTGATACTGACAACACACGTCTTTAGAATGAATGAGTTCCATCTGCTAGCGCTAACAGTTCTAACTTGCCGGGTTATAACCCCACGAATGTTATGCAACGGTGCTGAAAATGAGTAAGTTAGAAATCAGTGTAACAGAGAATAATAGTAAAGTATGGGTACTTTGAAATCTCACAAAAATGATATTAGAATACCTTGCTAAGCTTCATATATTTGAATTATAAGCTTGCAGTGGAGAGGTTCGCAGGAAATTGGTATCAGTTGGAAAGCATATTTTATTGTGTAAAATAGGGTAAGCAATACTACTGGGGACAAAGGATACCCTCAAAAGTTCATAAGCAAACATACTGACATAAAAATCAGAATAACGAGTTTTCACACCGCTGATATAATTGTCAAAATATTGATCCAGCAGTTACACAGAACAAATAAAAAATAATGTTCAGTACAGTTAAGCTGCGCCTAGTCTCTCACTCATTCAACTTTTGAAGATGATGCCAAGACTATTGTACAAATTACATGGTCCCGTAACTTCTTTTTGTAATAGCCAATTCTACTACTTTCTGAAAACTAAATTACATTGGTCAGTATTCTGTTAATTTAATTTCTTTATTAGTGAAGGGTATCTAGTATGACTAAATAATGACGTAGCTAAGATCGAAAATTACTGAACATTAAACAATATGCTCAAGAAGGTTCTGAAGTGAGCATGAATTAGTCAATTTTCAATCAGCCTTAGTATTATTGGTAGATTTCCTATGTTTCCTGACTAACAGTCCTTTAAATGGTTGGAGTAATGCTTTTCAAAAGACTACAAAAAACATAGATTTATGCAGCTAATATGAATATATTTACCTTGTAGATTCTCATAAGTTACATTTTTTTCTGATCTAATTGGTATATTATCTCCTCTCATATATTCGAACAAATTTTATTCTGATAGCTCTTCATTAAATTTATATTATTTCATACATTATATAGTCATTGGTCAAACAAGTTCTTTGATTATTCTTTCTATGAATTCTTGTGATTATTCTATCAATTATAATAATTATTCCGTGGATTATGGTTTCGATTTCTATTGATTATAAATGATTTGAGCACATACTACACACTTTTATTTAAACATTTAGAAAAGCAAGTTAACGAAATTTACTTAACTGTTTATTTGAAACTGGTATATAATATTTGAAAAATTTATTCTTGGTTAACCATCATGTCTGCTGCACATGCACGCCGCTGCATTTTAAGTAGCACAAGGATTTTCACAAGAGCCAATATTGCGATCACCCCTGCCCCATACGGGAACATACATGTTGTCTAGATTGGTCTGCAGACAAGTGGACGTCCAAAACTCGCGCAGACGAGCAGTGGCCCTCTTTCGGGCACTTATGAATCAAGGAGATCCCTTCAACCATTCCACTACCCACAATCCCCAATCGGCGATGGCGGCAAGGCGGGCTTTCCAAGCTAGACCTGGCGTCCCGAACGGATAACCGAGCAACCCAGCAGTGCACTAACCAGCAGCCATTCCAACCGTCTGGCCTCTCACTACCTTGCTCTGATACAATCAACCGTAGCCCTCAGACCCCACGTGAAGCTAAAGATCGAATTCGTCCCACAAGGTCAGCCGGAACGTACACCCTACCATGGGGAAGATGTCATGGACTCGACCAAGTGCAAGCAATCGGCCAAGCTGGGTGAATCCCACATAAGTGGGCAGACATCATTAGCGTCCAGTACCCTTCAGCACCAGGTCACATAACCCAACTGGAGACCCTTGCTTAAGGGGCCTCGACGCCAGTTGACACAATACACCGAGATGCAGAGTGTTTGGGACAACCACATAGGGTCGGCGTCAGTCGTCCAGGATCTTTACGGCTGCCTCCTCAGGCAAATCGTCTAGGGCTACCTTCAAGTATCCTGGAAAGCTGTTATCTCAATGTTTCAAAATTTACCTACGCTCGATGGACTGGATTCGGACTTAGAGGCGTTCATTCCTAATCACCCACAGTGGCGAACCGCATCCACAACCTTGCTACCATGAACACGTACCATTATTCTGGATCATGCTAAGCATGGTATGCTCAGCGTTCGGAACGGCTTTTAGCCGCAGCGCTGTAAGCAAAGCCTCGTTGCCTGGCAGGACCACGAAGATTTGGCCGCCACCACAACCCCAGAAGTCTCCATTTATGCGCTCCACCTAATATACCCCTTCAATCAGATGACGAGGCATTTGGCCAATATATACTTACCTACGCCTGTCACCCCCAATGGAGCATAGGCCGTCAACCAGTTTTCTTCAACCATTCTCGGCGTAATGTGTGCCTTGACCTTCTTCTTTCTCCTTTAGATTGAGGGTTCCATGTGAGAGATTGTCTTGTGACGCAGTTGGGTGCTTTTCTCAGTGTCTGTCCTATCTACTTCCAACGCTTCTTCCCGATTTCCTCTTCCACTGGAATCTGGTTTGTTCTCTCCCACAGTAAGTTGTTGCTGATAGTGTCTAGCCAACGAATCCGAAGCATTTTGCGTAGACCACTGTTGAAGAATACGTGTTTCCTCTGGATGGTGGCTTTCGTAGTTTTCCAAGTTTCCGCTTCATACAGTAGAACTGTTTTGACATCTGCAAGGAAAATCCTAATTTTGGTATTGAGTGATATTTGTTAAGAGTTCCAGATATTTTCCAACTGTAGAAATGTAGCCCTTTCTTTGTCGATCCGCGCCCTCACATCTGCATCGGATCCACCTTGGTTGTCGATGATGCTGCCCAGATATGTGAAGGTGTTAACGTCCTCCAAGGCATCTCCATCATGAGTGATTTGGCTAGCGCATGTTGTTTTGTATTGTAGAATCTTACTTTTCCCTTTATGTTTGTCTAGACCTACTGCTGCTGAGGCTGCTGCCACACTGGTCGTCATCTCTTGCATTTGTTGTTGCGTGTGCGATAGAAGAGTCAGGTCATCTGCGAAGTTCAGATCGTCCAACGGCATCCTAGCTGTCCAATAGATACCGTACTTCCCTCGAGATGTTGACATATTCATAATCCAGTCAATCACCAGGAGAAAGAGAAAGGGTGAGAGTAAGCAACCTTGTCTGACACTGGTCTTCACCTCGAAAGAGTAATCTGTCAGCTGACCTATGCGCACGATTTTGCAGTTTAATCCATCATAAGAATTCCGTATGATGTTGACTATCCTCTCAGGCACGCCGTAAATTCGAAGAAACCTGCATAGTGTTTCCTGTCCACGCTATCGAATGCTTTCTCGTAGTCGATGAAGTTGATGTAGAGTGGTGAGTTCCATTCAATCGATTGTTCCACAATGATCCGTAATGTAGCAATTTGGTCAGTACACGATCGATCCTTACGAAATCCGGCCTGTTGATCTCGAAGTTGGGCGTCTACGAAGTCCTTAATTCTGTTTAACAATACCCTGTTGAAGACTTTTCCTGGTATTGAAAGAAGAGTGATGCCTCTGTAGTTCTCACACATACTGAGATCGCCTTTCTTTGGTATTTTGATGAGATATCTTTCTTTCCAGTCTGATGGTACTTGTTCCTCATCCCAAATATTCTTGAAGAGGATGTGAAATATTTTCGCGGTTGCTTCCAAATCTGCTTTCATTGCCTCTGCTAGAATGTTGCCTGGTCCTGCTGATTTGCCACTCTTGATTTGTCTGATGGCCATGCTGATCTCCTCAATCGTAGGTGCGTCAACATCGATTGGGAGGTCCGTGAGTGCTGATTTGGTGTTGGTTGTGTTCAGTGGATATGGTCGATCCAAGAGTTCTTCAAAGTGCACTACCCTCCTATTTGGCTGTTCTTCAGTGTTGCTGATAACTTTGCCTTCCTTACTTTTCGCTGGTCGTTCTGGTTTACGATAATTTCCGGCGAGCCTCTTTGTTGTTTCGTACAATTATCTTATGTTTCCTTCTGTTGCAGCCTTTTCCGCCGTCATTGCTAGATCTTCCAGATATTTGAGTTTGTCGGCTCTGATGATCCTCTTCACTTTCCTTTTGGCATCTGTGTATTCAGCTTGTGCCTTAACCTTCTCTGCTCTTGTTCGGCTGATGTTGACTGCAGCCCTCTTGTTCCCCTTTTCTTCAATTTTTTCAAGAGTATCAACAGAGTTCCATTACTTATGATGGTACTTCATGACATGTTGAAGTGATTACCCTCCTGATCTCTTTTTCATTGTTCTCCAAGGTTGTTCCCTCTCCATTTAGTATATCGTGGAAGGCCTGGAACTTATTGCTGAGGGCTGTCTTGAATTCGTTGAGTTATACGGTGTCCCGAAGAAAGGCCGTATTAAACTTCTGTGATGTCTGCCCCGTTGTTCAGTGCTTCTTTAGTTTCAGTTTCATTTTGGCAATCAGCATGTGGTGATCTGAGGCTAAGTCAGCTCCTGTCTTGGTTTTCACATCCTCCATGGTCCTTCTGAACCTTTTATTGATACAGATATGGTCGATTTGGTTCTGTGTAGTGTAATCCGGTGAAATCCATGTAGCTTTGTGTATGCGCTTGTGTGGAAATATTGTGCCAATTTGTTGAAGGCACATGGGTTTGCAAATCTCTCACCGTTTTCGTTCCTTTCTCCCAGTCCATGTCGTCCCATGATGTCTCTATATCCAGTGGCATAAGTATTTAGGTCTCACACCAGGACGGTCAAATCATTTGATGAGCATCTTTCGACGATTTTGTCTTTAACGTCTTCATTGTGGTCGTTGGTCAATTCGTAACATTGGATGACGTTCATTGTAATGTCCTCTTTCTTTGTTTTGAAGGATGCTTTAATAATCCTGTGTCCATGAGATTCTCATGGAAAGCATCAATGAAGTCCTTGTGTACGTGAAGCCTTTTCCTCCCAATGATCAGAGTATAACAGCAGTTGCCCTGAGGCTAGTCTTAGTTGTCCTACATGTGTCCAATGCGTTTCGCTGATTCCAAGCACCTCCAGGTTGTATCTTTTCATTTGTGCAGCAACTTGAAATAGTCTTCTAGTCTCCCACAATGTTCGAACACTCCATGAACAAAAAAGAATGGTTGCGGCATGGAAGCGGCATCGGTCTCGTGACTTTCGAGGGGGCTCGGATTTCATCACGTGACGTCATAATTCTTCTTCCAACTCCCAGGGTAGAGTTAAAATGGTTTGATTAATTTTTTCTGGTTAGCGTTTTTTTGGCAAGTTAGTTTTTTGGTCGGATGGGGTCGCCAACCCCATGCCCAACCCTCCCCCTTTATCCGGGCTTTGGACCGACAGTAGCCCCGAAGGTTATACAGGCTCAGTTATATATATATATATATATATATATATATATATATAGATGGTGGAAATTCAGTATATCCTTGAATTTTTCGGAATTTACTTTTAACAGAAGTTAATTGCGCTTACCTAAATGAATTGCCAGAATGAAAACATCTGTTTCGCAGTTTTTTTCCTCCATATGTATATTATGATTCCTTTTGATTTCGTTTCCTACCATAATTAAATTATCAGTTATTTCATTTTCACAATTATTTCCAATGATTCATTTGTTGATTTGTTTTATTCAATTCAAGTATTTGCATGCAACCAACAAGTTATTGATAAAATTAAAAAAAAAATTATTCTTTAAATTGTTATTATAACTTTTTTAAATCATTCAGTTTTCAAGTGAAAAATATAAGATTGACAATTGAATTAATTCTACTCTCTATTCATTATTATTGAAATCTCAAAAAAAATATTTATCAATGATAAAAAGAAATATAATTCTAGAGTTTATAGAGCTGATATTCAGTATTCACTTTTTGATTAGAAAATTTTACGAATAAAAAATATAGTGAAATTTAAGAACTGTTTATAGGTGATGTAAATTAAGATACATGAAAAACATTTTATACTCTTACGATGTGAACATTTTCGTCAAATAGATGGACTTTTCAAAGCTTGATAATTGTATACATTTATCATGGTTAGCATTAAAAAAAATTCAAACATTTTTGAAATTTAAATCTTGTAATTCTACTTTTAACCTTGATTATTATTTAGTAGTGTTGATTCATGAATTATTGAAAACTTGACGGTGAATCAGGTGGAAAACCTTAAAAACACTTAAGGTTTATATGAAATAGATTGCTAGTATGTGCAGTGTTAGTAGTAATGTTAAAACGAAATAAACAAGCTGAATAGTTCCTTAGTCATTACTTATAATTGTAAACTTTTTTTATGCTATTTACTAAGTACGTTCTATTATGCTAAAACTTTTTTATTGTACACTAATAGATGCCTGGAATTGTAATGGATCAGAATACTGGATCAACTATTGGCACTACACCACATGGTCGATGGATTGATCAACAACAATATCTTGTTGAAACATATCGTCAGATTCGTACCAACTTAGGTCAATTAGAAGCTGAAATAGAAGCTGCACGTCTAAGAGTCACTGACTGGACACGACTAAGACGACATCCTAGCCGTAGTCGTAGTCTTAGTCATGCGAGTGTTTCAACTACTGCAAGTAGCCTACTAAGTTGTAGTACATTTGAAAGTGGTGCAACAGATGCTTCATTCTTAAATGTTGCAACAGATGGTACTACTGGATCATCGTGTCATTCGTCTTGTTCATCAACATGCGGTATTCAACTTCCTTCAGAAATTGCAGCTAAATTAAGTGCAGCTACATTAATTTCAGCGTTTTTAGCTGCAAGCCATGATTTCACTCAAGATAAAATTCTAGATCCTACTGTTTCAGATCAATTAGAACAAGAACCGGTTAGAGCTCGTACACCAGATCAATGTTCATCATCTAGCAGATCTCCTTCTGGTAGATCAATCTCTCCTTCATCTCGATAAAACAATTCATTAGACATGTGGCATATACTCAGGGTATCGGGTATAAAAGATAAATTTGATGGAAATAAACAGCAGATACCAACTTTAAAAAAAATCTAAATTCATTATGTAACTCATTTTCACAACATTCTGGATCGAATTAAAACGAAGGCATTTTTACTAAATGACGAACTAATTTAACAGCAGATTCATAAACGTATTTGTATTCACATTGATTTACGTACAGTTCTTTTTATCTACTTTATAAATACTTATATGTCTCCATTTTCGGTCATTATGTTTTTGTTTTTTTTAACACACTGAAGGTCTGTCTTTCAAGCATATTTATAGATCATTTTAACAAAACAAAACATAAATAAACTGTTCATTTTTAATTATTGTCATCTTTTTCCTACTGAAAAAATATTATGCTACACTATATTGGTGAAGTATTAGACGAAACTAGACAATTGGATTCTGAATTATCGTTTTATATTTGAATTGTCTGAATAATGAATGGTTCAAGGAGTTTTTGCCAAGGTTGTGATAGAAAATAAGTAAACAAAAATTCAGTTTTCACTATAATATTTTGAATAATTCAAAATATTTAATTCTGTTTACATCATCAATGTGAAGTCGATTAACTACTCATTTTTCTTGTCGAGCAAAGAATGTTGTGGTTCGATTCATTCTATCATGTTTAATAAAAATATTGAATTAGCTGAAAAATTCTTTCATTTATGTTTTAGTAACTGCAACATGAAGTTATGGCATTGTTATTGTGACTTGTACAAGCTTTTTCTTCAAAAAGATAGTTTTAAAATTTTATTCAAAATAGTGTAACTGCAGAGTCATTTATATTGCTTTTCATAGTCAAAGTAATAGTGTGGTTGGCGATAGTCATAACAGATTATTGAACATCTACCTGAAATGCAAAATGTCATTCCAAAAGGTTATTTACTTTGAAATCATGAATCGGCCGTTGTTAGACCACCTTTAGAAACCGGCCGTTTCGTTCTTGTATTGGGACTCATCAGCATTACAGTCTTCTGTGAGCATTGGATGAGATGGCGGGAGACCGTGAACTGATCAAAATGAGACATTAACACCTCTGGAGGCCAGTTCAGTGGTCCACACGTTAAGGGTTCACGCGCAAGATTGAAGGTCCTGTGTTTGGATCCTGTGGGTAGCCGGAATCGTGGAGGCACACTCCCGATGAGTCCCATATCATAACGAAACGGCCTTTCAGTACTTTCAGATATCTAATGGTGGTCTATCATTGATTGATTTATTAATTCAAAGTAAATAACCATTTGAAAGACATTTCGCAGTTCAGGTAGTAGTGAGTATATATGAATTAGTGAAAATATCAAATCCACATTTTATCAGTTTTATCGATTTATGATTTCAAAGTAACACTCGACAATCTCCACTAAGCTATAATGCGAAAGGTTATTTATAAATTATTCTGTCTTAGATTCAAAAAGTATTTTAATCAACATTATCCGTATAGTACACTTAATTAATTTATGTTCTCCGGGTGAGAATTAGTGCCATTTTTATTAGTAATTGTACATACCTTGTTTGTAGTAAACTAGCATGATATTTTATGCAGTCAAAATGACTGACATCTTCACTTGCCTGTTTGGTTTTCAGAAGAAATCTCTCCTGGAGCCCTTCTAGGGTTACTACCGATCCCTTGCCTGGATAAAGGAGGAGGGTCGGGCATAGGATTGGTGACCTCATCCGGCAAAAATCCAACCCCCTAAAACAAAATGCTAACAAGAAAAATAACTCGCTGATCGGAGTTCTTTGTTCCATTAGGGGTAAGAGGCGTAAGTAAGGTTCAGAAGAAACTATCATTTCGTATGTATCTGGCGAAAAACCTGATAACCGGGAAATTCAAAGACTATTACTTTATGGTAAGAAAACGCTTGAAATTAATAAGAAAAAATGTAGGGTCATGTATCTTACACACTGAATATATTTTCTCATTATTTACCAACGCCAATTCGTCCATCCATCAAAATAAAAGTAAGCTAAAATTATTTTCATTTAATTTTTAAGATGAATGACATCAGAAATCATCAGATCACATTGTAAAACTAATGATTAAATAATATCTAATTCCAAAAAATGTCTATACATAAAGAAACGGTGTTCTGTGTTAGGATGTTATTTACCAATTAACTGATTATGCATCTTGCAGAAGATTAGTATATAGTCAGGGCAAAATGAAAGTCTATTATCATCAGGTCTTCAATGTGTTGATTTAGATTGAAAAGCATTTGATTTTAATTTGTCTAGATAATTTTTTACGAGTAAAAATGTTTTAAAAATGTAAAATATTTCTAACTACTAATAGTTTAAATTGGTAAATTTTCTTCCAATAAAATAACATCGGATTACAAAATGCAAATCAATTTTGAAAACTTAAGAATAAATACATGCAAAATAAACTGTTACCTTGGCACTAATATTCTGGAATAGATGCGATTGTTGTCTGTATGTTGCTTTTATTTGAGCGTTTTCTGTACGAATAATGAAGAGGTGTTCTTAAAGCCTAGTTTTCGCATCACGTGTTTCTGTTTATGATCAAGTCTTATCACTGTGTTGGCTAGTGCCTAGTGCGTTGTATACTACTTATATTGTGGCTGGTAAGCAGCATGCAGTGGATGTGCATCGAAGTGTCTCCAAGAAGTTTCTGTTAAGAATAAGAATGTCCGACTCGAATTCGTGGTGCAATCATAGTGTCTTCAAGACCAGAAGACTGAGGAAAAAAAAGCCAAGAACCTGCGTGTTTTGCTAATTAAAGTTTGAAAATAGGGTGCACACATTTTGTTAATAAATTGTACCTTCTTTCAATAAGTTGCATATTTGATATGGTATTGGGTCTTCGTTCATTCGCACAGTAGTACAACTGTATTACCAAACCTAAGTTTTTTTTATATTTGACTATACCGTTTTGTGCAGCCAGTAAGCATCGATCGTTTGGAAAATTGCATTTCTATTATGTTTTGTTAAAGCTGATGTTATTGATAAACATGTTTGATTTTTGTTGACAGTTGCATGAATTTTTATCATATATATATATATATATATATATATATATATATATATATATATATATATATATATGTCTAGTAAAATGTTTTTATTAATTAACTAAAATGCTAGTGTAGAATAAATCTCATTCGAAAATTTTCTGAAACAGTCTAATAATATAAATATCTATCTGAATATTCACTGCGTAATACTGAAATTATAGACTTTTGTGTGTGTACACATTTCGTTAAACTGTTACCATATATAACAAATTATCATCACTTTAAGTGAGATGTACTAATCGTTTCTGAATTCATAAGATCACCTAAATAATTTTGTGTGTAAAATAAAAAAAAATTACGCAAACAATCAAATACAAAGTATGAGAAATTAGGAAAAACTTTATGATAATTTGAAGTTAATGATTTGATTCGCATGATTTAAAACAGTAAATGTTACTTTTCTCATGACTGACAGATCAATATTTATGCAAGAAATTTTAACAGTTAATTTTTAGCGGCTCACCACTAGACTCCAGTGTGGACGAATTATCGAGTTTGCAATGAAAGAAATCTTTCTTTCCACTTCCTTATATATTATACTTAGGCTAGCTCCATTTGTGCGATGGTGTTAATAAAAAGTCCAAATACGGTTTCGCAGATAAATTTATTTCACGCAATCATTTATGTAGACAAACATGAGAAGGAAAGCGTACTTGCAAATCGAAGCGAATTGTGGAAGGCGAGTGAGCCAACTCTTCATGAGCTGAAGCAATGACTAAATAATTATAGTCAAGCAAAAATAAGTTAGGCATGTGATAAGCGGGTAAGCATCCACACACACAAACTAATATACAATCTCGCTTTCCAGCTAATCAAGTGATAGGATGGTTTTCTCCTTTCTGACCTCATTAAATGTGAGAGCTTTGTTGTTAAATAACTCACTAATATAATCACAGCATTACTGTCGAAGGGTTTAGAAACACAATTTTTCTCGCGATGATATTTCTAGGTGGCAGAAGACGTATGATATTTGAAATGCCACTAGAGCTTGATAACTTTGTCAAAAAACAAATTGTTGGTCGTGATTAACTTTATTGCAAACGTTGATTCTGTAGTTGGGTAGTGAAAACGACGCCGTTACGAGATTTAAGACTACCACACCGTAAACGCCAAGTATCTCTAGCTATATTCATGGAGTGTATTGATCTACCACTCAATTTTTTTTGCACAACTATCATTGGTCCAAAAATATTCCCCAGAACTGAAATCTACTATTTCATACATTAAATGTAAAAAAGACAAACAAACGTTTCTCAATTTTATCCTTTTTTTATCCTGACGAGAATTTCTCCAGTACAAAAACCATTGCTTTTCTTAAGCAAGATGGTCTGTTTTTTTTTGAATATCTTCACAGCGTGCAATTGTCTGGTGAAAAGTTTTCTGCAATTATTATTATTATTATTATTATTATTATTATTATTATTATTAGTACCATAATTTCTACCGTCAGTAGTACATCTAGTCACCAATTTTTAATTTAAAGTGCAGACCTGCCGCGAAAGGTAGTTATGTTTTTCACAGTTAATTTCTTCACATGATAGATAGCATATTCTTGTTCTGAGTTTTATGTAGGCACGTTTTTTATGCCAGAAAAATTATTATTTAGGAACCAACCAATCGAAATCTAGAATGTGACATAAAGGGTCTCAGTGAGACAGTAAATTATCACAAATAACGAGCTATAGAAATACACTTGTGTACTGTTCAGAAAGCTGAAATGGATGGAAAATGGTTTCATGGAACTACAGACTAAAAATGATAGTCTTAAATAAACCAGAGGCCTAATTTTGTCTCTAGATTTTACAAAACAAGAAAATCGAGCATGCAGAAAAATTTTCATTGAAACCCTTATTCTAGAACAAACCTGAACCTAGTGGCATAACATTTCATAGATGAAGTTTAATGATACATAGT